CCTCTAGGGGCGCTGTGGGTCAGAATGGACTCCACGGCAGTGGGTGTGGTTTGGGCTTTGCTTCTGTGAAGATTGACAGCCTTGGAAACCCTCTGGGGCTGTTCCACTCTGTCCTCTAGGGGCGCTGTGGGTCGGCATCAACTCAACAGCAGTGGGTTAATGTTTACGGAAGCAAACCTCCAGGCCTTTCTTTTGCATTAATACTGGATGGGTTCCAACCACCGACCTTCCAGTTTGTAGCTGAGCACTTAATCGGGAGCTCAGTGCCCCAATTTTTAAGGCTGGGGCGTCTGCAAGCCTTTCTCTCAATGGATGGCCACCCCAGGTCAGGGCAGGTGAGTGCCCCGCTGATACCCACACCCTAGCATGAACACGAGTTTTTTTTTACTTTGAGAGGAAAATAAGTAAGTGAGGGTAGTGCTTTATGCGACTGCTTTTGAAACTCGTCTCAGGGCTCACGGGGGCTTCCCCAAAAGTCTCAGCCCTGCCAAGGAAACATCAAGACTAAAAAGGAGTTTTCCACTGAAATGGCATTTTTTCAGGCGCTGAATTTAACCACGCAGAGGGAGCAGCGAACATGACATTCTGCTGTCATTTCAACATGTTTGCTTTGGGGTTTGGCAGGTTTGGGTTTGGAGTCAACACTGTCTGCTTTTGCAGGCAGCAGAGGCTCCTGGAGCCCCGGCAGAGCTGCCTCCCCGCCGCCCGCCCACCCCGACCCCATGTCCTCACCTGTATAGTCTCGTCACTGAAGAGCAGCACCAAGGCCTGATCGGACGCCAGGAAGTGCAGGAGGCAGAGGCTGGGCCCGGCAGGCGGCGAGGGTCGGGGCCAGCCCCCTTCCTGTGGGCAGACCCAGCCACGAGACAGGACCACGGGGGCGTCACCAGCTGCCCCGACCGCCCACCCCACCGCCTCACCTCCCGCAGCTGCTGCTGCAGGTAACGCGAGAAGAGACGCAGGACCGCCATCTTGGCACCCAGGGCGTTGGGCACGTCCCTCAGCGCAAACGTCTCCAGCGTCCCGCGGTCAGGCGCATAGCACACCTGGCTGGAGACCAAGAGTGCAGCGGGCAGTGCCTGCTGTCAGGGGCTCCGTCTTGGGCCCCCCATTTCCATGGACCCCGTCCCACCAAGCTCGACCCCTCGGGCCTTGCTTTAAAGACCAGCTCTACTGAGACCACCTGCCGCAGATTGAATGAGACACCCTTAGGTATGTGTTCAGGTTCCGGGGTTCCACAAACAGTGACGCACTCGACTACTCGCCAAAAGGTTGACAGTTCCAAGCAGGCCGGCGGTGGCTCAGAAGAGAGGCCCGGTGGTCTGCTCCTGCAGGGGCCCGGCCTTGAACACCCCTCCACACACGGGGTCGTGGTGGGTTGGAACCAACTTGATGGTGACAACCACGAGACGTGTGTTGAAGCCGGGCCTGCCCCACAGACGGGAGCTATGCCGGAACAGGGCTCCTCTCCCCTTGTGTTAGGCAGGTCGGTTCAGGGCAGGGTGGGCCTGAAGCCTGGTCCCTTCAGAGTTACAAAGGAGCAGGACAGACACAGGCACACATGAGGGGGCCAAGGGGACAGATGCCATGTGAGGACCTGTCTACAAGCCAAGAACCAAGGAGCTCGTGGGGCTGCCAGCCAAGAAGGCCCTTGGCCTGGTGCCGCCGCCTGGTCTCCACCCTGCGGTGGGGGTGTTGTCAGCTGGGGTCACTTCTGACCGCTGGTGCCCCGCGTGCAGACTGCCTCCTAGGGTTTGCAGGGCTGTCACCTTTCAGAAGCAGGTCTTCCAAGGGGCCTCTGGGTGGGCCAACTGCCAGCCTTCCAGTCAGCCATCAAAGGCTTAACTGTTTGTCCCACCCAGGAACTTCCAGCCACCAAAATGACAAGAAAGTAAGTCCCTGTTCCAGAAAGTCACCCACTTGTGGTGTCTTTTGTTACTGCAGCCCTAGGGAATTCACACACACGCGCACACACAAGCACACATACATACATATGCACACACATACTGTACACACATAGACATACATACATACATGCACACGAAAAGGCACACACACACACACACACACACATGCTTATGGACCTTGGTGTTGTCCCAGAACTCCAGACCCGTGGAGCCAGCCCTTGACTCAGTGTCTCCTCCCACATCTCTGATCAGCCTCAAGCTGCCCTTCTGCCATCTCCCCATCTCAGCTGACGCCTGCTCCATCCCGAGCCTGGCCCCTCCCAACCCACCATGGCCACCACTCTGACCTTCCCAGTGGCCTGCAGGGGCTCCAGCTTCCAGTCCTCTCAGCTCCCCTCGCTTCCTCTAGCTTCCTCACTGTTCCTCAAACCCATCACACTCCGTCCTGCCTCATGGCCTTTGCACATGCTGTTCCCTGTGGCTGCAATGCTAAGCCTGACAGCCTCCTCCTTGTCATCCAAGTCTTGCCTGAACATCACCTCCTCAGAGAAGCCTACCCCAGTCATGTTATTGAAAGTTGCATCCCCTCCTTATCTGCCACCTCACTTTCGTGTCCTTCAGAAAAGTGCCACCTGAATCAACTTAGTCATTCATTTGTTTAACATTGTCTCTCTTCTACCAGGCAGTGTGGGTGCGCACAGAAGAGGCTTACTACATAGGTGAAGAATGAAGGAAAGGATGGGAGGGGAGACCCTACCCCCCAGGGACAGAAGCCTCACTACTTACCCCCCTGGGGGGCGCAGGGCCATGTGTGTACCATCTCGGAACAGGACTCCACTGCCCCCGTCTGATAGCTGGTAGCCAAAGCCATACTTGCTGGAATAATCCACCCATTTGGGGGCCCACAGGAGGGGCCTCTGCTCTCCCGGGGAGTCCTGCATGGCTGGATACAAAGACGAGGCGAACTGAGCTGGAGGTGTAGGGCCTGGCCACCCAGTTAGGGGCTGGGGCAAGGCTGGTGTCTTTAACATGCATTACAGGCAGAGGGGATAAATCTAAAAAGCAGGTGACCAACTCTCACCTGGCGAGAAAGCATTGGGACCCTGGGGTTATGAAGTATTTCTAGTACCCTTGTCATACTATAAGGTTTTACTTAATTTTGATTGAAAAATTTGATTGAAAAAGACTCTTGGTCAAAAGGGGGGAAAATGGGGAACAAAATTGAAAGTTCTCATGGAATCTAGACTTTCTGGAGCCATGAAGGCTGAATAAAACCCTGAATCTATTGCCCTGAGATGACCTTCAAATCTTAAAGCAAAACTATCCCCTGAAGTCTTTAAAGACATTTGGCCTATTTAGTAAAGAATGTCTGTGTGAGTGCTGTGCTCTTTAAACATCTTTGTGTCGATCAAACTGACATCAGCAACTCAAAAGGTCAGATGAGAAGCTTAGGAGGCAGGGAGTTCATGTCACTGGGGGAGAAACAATTTGAAAAAGGAGAGTGACAAGGGCTGAACAACCTGAAGAATGTCATCAATGACACTGAATTGTCCACGGAGAGATTATTGAACAGGGGTATGTTTCGCTAAGTTTTTCAGTAACAAAAAAATTTAAAAAAAAAAGTTTGCAAAATGATTTAAAAATAAATAACAAAAAGTGTTCAATGCAACATGGGATCCCAGATGCGACCCTGGAACAGAAAAAGGACAGTGGAAAACCTGGTGACAGAGAATACAGTCCCCATGGCAGTTTGTCATCCTGTGTGCTAACAAGCACGCCACAGTGTGGAGAGACATTCACGCGGGGGAAGCTGGGTGAGGCGTCGACAGCCCTATGCACAATCTTTGCAACTTTTCTGCAAGTTGAAAATGATTGTTTAATGTTTATTAAAAACAAGAATTGGGGGGGGGGAGAACAGGGGGGACCAGGTTTGCTGGTCTGATAGAGCCTGGGGGAACCAATGAGACTGTGGCCCCTAGCTGCCCTTCAGGCCTGGTATTGAACCCACACCCGTGGCTTCCAGCCAAACAAAAGACAGGCATAGGAGTTGAACATTTACCTGAGGTAGATACACTCCTTGGAGAGAACAATCATGGGAGAAAGAAGGGCTGCTTATGCACAGGGAGACAGCTCAGGGGGCAGGGGTGCATGGACGGATGGACACAGGGAAGAGGTGAGTATAGGGAGGAAGTGGGAGAAGAACTGTTGCATTGTGGGAAATTGTAGTCAATGTCATGAGACAACATGTGTGTAACTGCTGTATGGAAAGTGAATTTGCTCTGTAAAGTTTCACCCAAATCACAATAACAACAATAAGTAAATAAATAAAACCAAGAATTGGCTCCAGCTGTTTAAGGAAAACTTTAGACTATGGGGCCTTTCTTGGGCTCCACAGGTGAGGGGGCCAGAATGAAAAGTGGAATGGATTGACATGAAAAGGCTCCTCACAAGACGGTGACCTTACTCTGGGGCTCGGGACCCCTCTCTACGAGGGGCAGGACCTGTGGGGCGGTGGAGGTGTGGGTCCTGGCACTGAGGGGTGGGGGCTTGGTGTTGGCACCGGACTGAGACTGCATCTCCCGCCCAGTCCTGACTCTCAAACAGGACAGAAGTAGGGACTTGACACCCTGAGCCTGGGCACTGATGGCCCAGATGCCCCACCAGGCATCGCTCTTCCTAGTGACACCACACGACAGGGTGGAACTGCCCCAGGGGGTCTCCCCGGCTGCCATCTTTACGGGAGCAGGTCACCAGGTCTGTCTCCCGCGAGCCCCTGGGTGGGTTCCAACAGCCGACCTTCTGGTTAGCAGCCGAGTACTTCACTGCTGTGCCACCGGGGCTCCTTACAGTCATTGTAAGGTAAGCACACAGTGACCATCTCCACAGCACTGTGATTACCGGTGGGGAAACTGAGGCACCAGACGGTTAAGTCCTTTCCTGAGGCCCCAGGGCCCTGAAGCCTCCTTCCTCCCCTTCTGACACCTCCCTGGGCCCTAGGGGAGCCCCAGAAATGCCCAGGAAGAGGATGGGGCTGGGGCAGTATTCTTGGGCCACTGACCGGGGGGACCCCTGTGGGCTGGGCGAGGCTCCTACCTGGGGGCCCAGCTCCCAGGCAGAGCTGCAGCCTCTGGATGGCCGCCTCCACTTCCGGCCAGGGGCTCTCCTGGGACCCTGGGAACAGGTAAGGTGTGGGCGCAGACAGGCCTGGGCTCCCCCCAGTAGCAGCAGCCTCCAGCTGCCCACATCCAGGGAAATGGGAGTTCCCACCCAGGAGGATTCCGTATGGCATCCCCATTTTACAGGTGGGGAAACTGAGGCCAGGAGAGGGGCATGACTTTTGAAAGGGAGGGGTCTGCTCACCCTCGGGGCTACTCCTAAGGGTCCCTTGGGTGAGCAGGCAGATGGGGGCCTCAGGGCCAGGGGTCTCTCTCTCTGATAGAGAGGCCTATGAAGAGAGCAGAGTGAGGGGGTGCCATGCCCCTGGGAGAAGTCTGAGGTGGGTGGGGGCCTCTGGACCCTCTGCATCCCTCCAGAAGACCCTGACGCCCCCCTCAGCCCAGAGATGGGCTTCGCTGGGGTACAGCCTCCGACCACCTCAGACAGCAGGCATTCAATAAGTGTGCGTGGGATGAAGCAGACAGCAGGCACTCGGTAAGTGTGCGGGGAGTGAAGGCAGACAGCAGGCACTCAGTAAGTGTGCAGGGAGTGAAGAAGCAGGTGGAATCAGGATGGCGTGGCCTGGCCCTCAGGAAACCTCCAGGCCAGGGGGACAGAGCTGGGTGCAAATGGGTCCCACCCCACAGGGGGTAGAGGGTGAGGTCTAGGGTTGGTGGTCCCAGACCAGGTGGGACCTTAGTCCAGGGGTTCAGGGACACCCACACGGAGGTAGGGATTCAGAAGTGGCTGGGGGTGTCAGGCTCTGGGGAGAGGGGTGGTCTGGGCACACTGTCCCCCCTGTCCGAGTGCCCCTGGCCCCCAGTTCCTTACCTCACTGCCCCACTCCATGGAATCTGGCTCCAGACCCTGCCCTGCTGGTTCTGAGGCTTCTTTGGGAGTGAAGGGGCCTGAGGGAGGCATAGGGACACTCGGGGGGCAGAGCCTGGACCCCATGTGGGGATGAGAGGCACCTACCCCCATGTCCACCTCTGCCATGGTGTGGAGACAGTGTGGAACACATGGAGGGTATGGCTGGGTGTGGGAGGGGCGGGACAGATGGCAGGCAGGTCGAAGCAGGTGAGGGCTGTGGGGAGGTAAAGGGACGCTGTGGGCAGACGTGGGGCAGGCACCAGCAGGTGAGAGCAAGCGTCGAGGGTGTGGACAGAGGTGGACAGGTGTGGGCAGGTGAGGTACTCACAGGGCGGCCGGCACTGGGTGAGCAGCAACTGGCCCACCTTCCGGAAAAGTCTGCCCAGGGGCTGGGGGATGACGAACACAGGTGGACTGTGACAGGAGTGGGGGGGCAGCCGGTCTGGAGTGAAACCCTACGAGGGAGCGTTGGGGTCAGTGTGGGGCTCGGGGCAGCTGGCAGGGCCGGCTCAGCCAATCAGCAAGGCACGCATAGTACAGATTAGAGGTAAGCACAAGTAAATGTGTGCATATCTTGCTCACTGATTAACCCGGCCCTGCTCAACTCCCAGCCCCGGCTTCCAAGACACCTGGGGCCTCTGCCATTCCTGAAAAAAATACTGCGCCTGGGCCGTGCGGGCACGGGACCACCCACCCCGTGGACAGCGCCCACCTGCGTGAAGAAGTCGTCCTGCAGCACGTGGTCCAGGCTGGGCCGCTCGGACGGGTCAGGTGCCAGGAGGCGCGCTATGAGGCTGCGTGCATGGGGTGACAGGTGCACGGGCTCGGGGTACCAGCCATTGAGGATGCTTTGATACAGCTCTGACAGTGGGGCGGTGGTGAAGGGTGGGGCCCCAGTCAGCACCATGTACCTGGCGGTGGGGGAAGCAGGAGCCTGGGTGCCCACTTGCATCTGTCCTGAGTGGCGGCCAGGCTTTGCTTGCATCTCCCTGTGTACACCTGGCCATGTCTTCCCACACATCCCGACTGTTCACACTCTGCCTCCATGTCCCATACCTGCCCACAGCCGCTCCCATCAGGCCATTCCGCTGCACACAGCCCCACCCTGCTCAGGGACCACGCCCGCACACACCTGGGCAGTTCTGTTTCCTGCGTGCTCACACCTGTCCACTTCTGCATGTACCTGACCCTCGTACACAATCCCACATGCCCTGATCTACCCGCCCACATCTGCCCTCACCTGTGCATACCTGTCCTCCCTCGCACACATCCCCATACACGCCCTATTCATACTTACACAGTCAAATGACGGCAGGTCCCTACCTGCCCCACACCTGTCCACATCTGTTCTCTGTATGCTCACCCCCATCCACCCCTCATTCAACCTCCCCTGTACACACTCACACCCGCCCTACCCCACCCTGTACATGCGTCCACCTGTGTACACCTGGCCCGGCCCACCTGAGCAGTCCTGCCCACTGTCCCCAGACCCACTCACATGACGCAGCCCAGAGCCCAGATGTCCGACTGACAGGAGTGCCCATTCCTGGAGATGACCTCGGGGGCCAGGAAGTTTGGGGTCCCACAGAGCACTCTGGGAGGAGGACAGTGGGGGCTCAAGAGGGCTGGGCCCCCATGTCTGATTCAGAGGCTCACTTGTGCCCAACCAGAGGGGCTCCGTGGAGCCTCCCAGTCTCACCTGTGGCAGCGGCCCCCAGGCCCCACCCTGGAGGCCAGCCCCAGGTCTCCGATCTTCACCTCCATGTTCTTGTTAAGGAAGAAGTTACCTGCCGGGGTGGGGTAGGGGACGTGGAGGGTGAAGGCGAGGCCACCATCCTTTTCCCTCTCCCACGGTTCCCCCGAAACACTCACTGAGCTTCAGGTCGCGGTGCACAATGTGCCGCTGGTGCAGGTACCGCAGGCCGCTGACCAGGCCCCGCAGGTAATAGCGCACCTCCGGCTCCGTTAGGGTCTGCCGGGCCTTCAGCACGTGGGCCAAAGACTGCAGGTGATGGGCAGACACAGGTGAGCTCAGACCAGGTGGGCACAGTGAATTCAACAGGCCCAAGAAGGCAAAGGCAAGTCCAACGTGGCCAAGGTGGGCATGGCTGATTGTGGAATGGGCCGAGATGACCACAGGGGAGCTCAGGGAAGCACAGGGGAGCCCGAGTAGGGGCACATGCATTCAGATGAGCCCAGGTGGCCGCAGGTGAATTTCAGAAGGACTGGGTGAACAGAGTGGGTAAAAAAGCTGGGCACAGGTGAGCTCAGGTGCATGCAAGTGGGCAAAGTGAGTTCAGGGCATCTGTGAAGGCACAACTAAGTTCAACTGGGTCCAAGTGGGCATAGCTGAGTGTAGGGTGGGGACGTGCCACCACAAGTAAGCACAGGTGAGCTCAGGTGCACTCAAGTGGGCAAAGTGAGTTCAGGGCATCTGTGAAGGCACAACTAAGTTCAACTGGGTCCAGGTGGGCATAGCTGAGTGTAGGGTGGGGACGTGCCACCACAGGTAAGCACAGGTGAGCTCAGGTGGGCAGAGATGAGCATGGGTGAGTCCAGGTGGGCCCAAGTAGAGACAAAAATGAGTGGGGATGGGCCTGGTGACCACAGCAGGAGCTGGGCACAGGTGGACACAGGTGAGCTCAGGTGTGCCTACATGAAGCAAGTGTGCCTAGATGGGCAGGTGAGTGAAGGATGCGTACAGGCGGGTATATACGGATGCAGATGTAGGGAACACATGAAGTGTGTGCAGACACAGGCAGAAACGGGTGAGTCAGGTGAACACAAGGTGGACACGGGCTGTGGGCACTGCCTGCCCCTTCTCTGTCCCACTTCCCCTCCCTCTCCGTCCCCAGGGCACCTGGCGGCTGCAGTACTCCAGCACCATGTACACGTGGTTGCAGTCAGCAAAGTGTCCATGGAAGGCCACAATGTTTCGGTGTTGCAGGCGGCTGTGCAGAGCGATCTCACGCTCCACCTGTGGGCACAGCCTCCACATGTACACACCCACGCGTGCACAGGGCCCAAGTGCACACACTCACCGGCATAACCCCACCCCCAAGGGCAGGAGCCGCTCTGGGGTCCCGCTGTGAGAGCGGGGCCTCTTGGGGCGGGGATAGGAGTTGTACCTTCCCTCGTGGGCGCAGCCGCCCGGCCCCGCCTCCGCCACGGGGCACCACCTTGAGGGCGAACACGGTGCTGGTGGACATGTCCGTGAGTTTGTAGCAGCGGCTGAAGGCACCCTGTGGGGAAGTGGATCAGTGTGCTTAGTGGACAGCTGTGCACAGGTGTGCAGACAGGTGTACCATACCTGTGCCAAGTGGGTATGAGCAGGCAGGGGCACTGGGCTGCCAGGCAACCAGATGTGCCCACGTCCCTTCAACACACCTGTAACTGGACACACTCTGACAAGCACGGCCACACAACTCATACCCTCAAACCTGCACACACATGCAGGACACACAACACGACACAGGACAACACGGGAACAGAACATGACACAGGACACACAGCACATGGGCACACAATAATACAGGACACACAACACATGGACACACATGCAGGGCACACAACACAACACAAGACACACAACACAACACAGGACACAGAACAGGACACAGGACACAGAAAAGGACACAGGACACATAACATAAGACACACAACACAACACAGGACACAGAACAGGACACAGGACACAGAAAAGGACACAGGACACATAACATAAGACACACAACACAACACAGGACACAATGTAGGACACACGACACAAGACATAGATACACAACACACAAACACACACAACAGATGGACACACAGTACAGCATACAGACACACAACCCAACCCAACACAGTGGACAGACAGCACACGGACGCGCAGCACACAACGCACCAAGATGTGCAGCACACTGAGACACACACCCCCGGACACACAAAACCACGCATCACACACCTGGAGACGCCACACAACCCCGAGTCACACACGGGCACCAACACCCATCCCATCCTGGACACACAACCCCGGGCCACACAGCACAACACGCCAGACACCGTTCCCGCCACACGGCCCGCGCCGTGGACTCCGACGCCCCGCCCGCGCAGCACACTCAGCCGAGACCCCGAACTCTCCGGCCCGCGCCCTGCGCCCCTCGCCGCCTAAGGTCGCGAGTCCCCCGCCGCGGACCCGGGGAGGGTGCCCCACCTTGCCAATCAGCTTCCCGCGCCGGTAGACGCGCCCCGAGCCCGGGTCGCGCAGAAAAGCGGCCACCAGCGGGCGGCTCCTGCTCCGCCGCCGCGGCCCGGGCTCCATCGCGTCCCGGGGACCGGCGCTGGCGCAGCCTCGGCGGACCTTGCACCCCGCCACCGCCGCTCTGGGGACCGCGACCGCAGGGGCGCGTCTCATTGGCCGCGGGGGCGGGAGGGGCGGAGTCAGGCGCTAGAGGCGGGGGCTCGGCGAGAGGGGGCGGGCGCGTGGGCGCGCGGGGACGCCCGGCGGTAGGGAAACCGGGGGCAGGGAGAGCACCGGGCGCGCGCGCAACTCCTCCTGCCCCTCCGTAGGGCTGGGAACTATCGGAGCGCCCATCTGTGGAGCAGGAAACTGAGACCCAGACAGGTGCCCTGGCATGCAGGCCTCTCCTGGAAGTGCCAAGGGCGCACGTCTGTTCCCCCTGAACGTGTTTGTGTGCCTTCGAATGTGACAGTGTGTTGTGTCTCCAGGTGTGTGCTGTATGGCTTTGTGTGTCTGAACGCTGTGCTCGATAGGCCTCACGCCCCAGCTCCCCCTCTAAATCCTTCCTAGCTCCCCAGTGCCATAGGGCTGGAGCTTGACATTCTCAGTGGCCCCAGGACACAGAGATGGATACACCCCTAGACACGCAGTTCCAGACACATGAAGTTACAGCACACACCTGGGGCTTGGGACAAGGCGGACAAGGGGCAGCCAGTGGTGAGCTCCAGAGGTGGGCACTGGGGGCAGCTTAGTGAGAAGGCATTGGGCTTGTCTGGAACCCCTCCTGAGCCCTGGTCCTGCCCCACACTCGGCTCTAACCCCGTTCCTCACAGTTGTCCCAGTTCAGCCTCTCTGCAGCTCGGGGACATTGGAGCAATGTTGCCCCCACTTTATAGATGGGCAGACTAAGGCGGGGACAGGTTAAACCCTCCCCAGCCAGGAAGGGACACGGCTGGATCTGAATCCAGGTGGCTGCCTGAGCACGCGTGTGGCATTAATCCCCATCTGTTACCTAGTACGACGAGTGGGGAGGAGTTAGCAGGGCTCCGTGGGGCTGGAATCAGCCTTTGGAATTTTCCAGACAGGACATTTTGGTATCTGGCTGGCCATACCACCAGGGGACAGAAAACACCCTCTGAGTTGTCACGTGTCCAGCTGGTGTGGTGCATTGAGTGGGGGTGCCCAGGGCAGGGATAGCCCACAGTGGCCCCAGTGTGTGACGGAGCTGGAGTCAGACATCTTCCTGGGGGTCCTGCCACAGATTCCAGGCCAGCAGCACTAGGAGCTGGCTGAGGCCCAAGCCCCTGCTAATGAGAACCAGGTGCGGCGTGCTGGAAGGTGGGTGGCTCAGGGGGGTGAGGAGGCCTGAGCCGTCACGTCACCGTCACTCTGGAATCCACAGCGCAGAGACCACGCTCCTTCTAGAGCACCTCCCTGCATCCAGGTGTGTGAAACCAGGTCGCCACAGAGCCGCCACTGTGTGCAGGACCCATGCTGGGCTCAAAATACCCCAGACAGAGCTGGCCTGGCCCTTGCAAAATCACAACGGTTGAAAGAACTACCAGGAATTTGTCCGAGACGTCACCAGGTCAAGGGTCAGGGGAGGCTCCCGGAGCCCCCCGTCTACCAGGTAGCTGCTATTCCTAGCCACTGTGTCAGGTGAGCACACTGAGGCTTGGGGAGACACATGCAAGCCCAGACTTGCCAGTCTGCAGGTGACAGGGCCCCAGCTAGAGCCCCTGCCCCAGCCGGGCAATGCTACCTCCTCAGACGCCCCATCCGAGCAGCCCCAGGAGAGGTGCCAGGTGGAGGCCTCACTCTGGGGCGGGCACCGAGCTGCCAAACACCCAGCAGAAGGGAGGTCCGAAGATCCTGGCCCTGAGCCGCAAAGCCCGGTCAGCTGATGCTCCTGCCCCAGGGACCAGCTGGCTGCCCGGCCGCCCCTCGGCCTCACCCTCCCATGTTCTGTTTTCTGGCTGAGCCTCCCCTGCGGAGCTGGGAGGCTTCCTTGTCCTGGCCTGCACCCCTCTGAGCAGGGACCTCTTTCCCTAGCCTGCCTGCACTTCTCTGACCAGCTGCCTCCCTGCTCTGTCCAGCCTGGGCCCGAGGCTTCCAGGGGCAGGTGGGGATGGAGCCCTCAATGCCATCCTTCTCTCCAAAGACCTGGGACAGCTTTGGCTTCGGGCGGGCCAGCCCCTCTACCCCATCCTATTCCACCCCAGAAACCCTTCCTGTCCTTACTCCCTTCCCATCTGTCATCTCTTCATTCTTCTAATTCATTAATTCAATATATAGTCACCTATCACGTGCAGGCACTGGGGAGGGGCTCACAGACCCAGAGAGTCTGCTCTTGTTGTTGTTGTTAGGCGCTGTCGAGTCATCTCAGACTCATAGCAACCCTATGTACAGCAGAACCAAACACTGCCCGGTCCTGTGCAAGCCTCACAATCCCTACTGTACTCGAACCCATCACTGTAGCCACCATATCAATCCATCTCATCGAGGACCTTCCCCTCTTTTGTCAACCCTCCACCTTACCAAGTATGACATCTGTGGTAGTTACATTTGTGTGTCAACTTGGCTGGGCCTGTTTGAGTGGCTGGGCAGGTGGTGGTAGTTATTCTCCATGAGACTGGCAATCAACTGCATGGTGGGATTTACCACAAGCAGCTGAGTAGCTGCCTTTGGGATATGGTCTGCTTCCTGTATTTCAGGAGAAGCCTTGGGAATGGTCTTTAGCCTTTGGCACGCTTGGACCCTGTGTATAGCCAAGCGTGTCACTGCTCAGCAGGCTGATATGCTCTGCCGACCTTGGGACTTACAATGGATTTATATTAATGGCCTACTGTGTGGTTTATTAATATCAGGACTGTGCCCTTTTTACTTGTCAACCTTGGGGCTTCTCAGCCTCAGCAGCGAGCAGCTGTCTGAGTGAAGAAAAGCCTCTAGCTCCAGTGGGCCAGGAGCAGGAGGCAGAGCTGGTCCCCAAGGTTGAGGGGCTTTCACGCAGCCCCTAGAGCCTGTCACTTTGAACTTGGACTTAAAGCCTCCAAATTGTGAGAATAAACTCCTGTTTGTCCAAGCTACCCCATTGGTGGTATATTCTTGTCAGAGCGGCACTAGGGAACCAGAACAACATCCTGCTCCAGGGAATGGTCCCTTCTGACACCATGACCAAAGCAGGTGAGATGAAGCCTGGCCATCCCTGTTCCAAGGAGCGTTCCGGCCGCACTTCCTCCAGGACAGATGTGTTCTTTCAGCAGCCCACGGCGCTCTCGGCGTTCTCCACCAGCGCCACCGCTCAAACACGTCAGCTCTTCTCGGCCTTCCTGACTCACTGTCCAGCTCTCACGTGCATGGGCTGTGGAGGAGCCACGTTCTGTGGAGGACGGGGGACGGGAACACGTAGTCTGGAAGGCCAGGTGGGGTGAGGGCCTCAAAGCAGGGGGCGGAGTAGTAATGGGGGAGCACCACGAGGCCCACCCACCGAGGCAGGAGCACGCGGCCGTGAAGCAGGGTGGGTGCCAACACTCGCCACCACGGGGAGAGCCCTGAACATGTGGTGCTGAGCAAAACAGAGCAAAAGCATACACCAAAGGCAACTCGGGTGTGCTTCCGTGTCTGTGACGTGTCCCGACAAGCAAATTCACGGGGACAGAGAGTGGAACAATGGGGGCGAGGGGACAGGGTAAGGAGATGGGCACGGGGCGTCTGCGTGGGGAGCGGAGAAGGTTCTGGGACTTAGTGGTGGTGATGGTTGCACAGCTCTGTGAAGGTACGAACGCCACCGAGTGTACCCTCTAAAATGGCTAATTTCATGGTACGTGAATTTCACCTCAGTTCAAACAACACTGAAGGAAGCAGAGCTGGAGTGAATTTAGACCCAGGGCCAGGGGGCCTGTGGGAGCTACGATGTCTCAGTTTGGGGCTGCAGACTCATGGGACCCAGACATTACTGGGGGTGCAGGGCTTGGATTCAAGAACTGGGAGGGAAACTGAGGCGTTCGCCTCTGCTGGAATCCTCATTTTACAACGGGAGACAGTTTACAGTCCCGGGGAAACAAACACCACACACGTGTCACTAGATAATGCCTCCCGGGAAAGGCAGCTTATGGGGGGGCTTTCTGACATCCTCATTCTGTTGATGTTGTTCGTAGATGTCAAGTCAGTTCATCCGCAATTTACAGAGAGGGGGCTTGAGGCACGGTCTGCATGCTGAACCCAGGACTGCAGCTCTGGCAAGGGGCGGGGCACTATTCAGTGGCAGCCTGCCCGTCGGTGCCCACCCCTCCCAAGGCTCCCAGGGCTGAGTGGTGGCAGACTGGGCCTCCTGCCTGGGCCACCGCCCACAGCCCAGGGCCCCAATGTCATTTTCCCTCCCCATCCCTGTTCTCGCTGACCTGAGATAACTCGCCGGACTCAGCAGATTCCCAGGAGGCGAGCCGAGCCAGCAGTCCAGCTTAAAATACCTGCCGCAGGTGGAGGGGCGGGCGCTGAGCCAGGCGCCGGACACTGGGGAGAGCATGGGAGGCTCACGGGGCTGGACGCCAGTGCTTCTGGAAGGTGCCAGGCAGGGTGGGGGAGCATCCCAGGCTGAGAGACATGACTCAGCTCCCATATGGCCTCCTGGTCCCTCAAACACCCGTGGGCTCCCACGTTGACCCTTGGTCCCTCAAACACCTGTGGACTCTCCCATGTTGGCCCCGTGGGTTCTCAGTCTGACCACTCTGGTCTCAAGAGATTGGGGGCCTTGCTGCCATTCCTGCCCCAGAAACCCCACGACTCTGGGGCCAGAAACTGGGGCCACCCGAAATTGGGTGCCCAGGTCCCCTGAGCCCCGACCTCCCTCCAGGACCAAATGGTGTCTTCGTTTCAGCCTCGCGGTGCTGCGGGCGCCTTCTGGAAGCTGCCGCCTCATCTGTCATTCAGGACACCTCACTCCAGGACTTCTCTCGCCCCTCGGGCCGCATCCTCCCTGTTCTCCACCCAGGCTGCTCCTTCTTCTCCTGTGGCCCAGGGCTGGGTTCTGAGGCCCCTTCTTCCCCTCCCTTCCTCCTCACCCCCACACCCCTGCTGACGTG